AATAACCCCTTTTAGTGCCATTAGCAAAGTGGTGAGTGAAGAAACAGAGGGAGTAGACACAGGGGGRATAAGTGCTCTGAGTGCTCCGAGAGCCTGAAGTTGAGCCCTACATTCAACACAGGATTTCAGAAGCAAGAAGCACCTTTCAATGACCTCCAGAGGTTTTAGTCCCGACAGCCCTAAATTATTCCAAGCTGCCTATATCCACCCAAAGTTATTCTACACTTAGCATGCACAGGGACCGGTCATGAAAGTCTTTCCCAGACAAGCCCTTAACGCAGCCCGTGGTAGCTGGTTTCGCTGGCTTTGCAGACCCTTGCAAGGTGGTGGGAATCGGTGTACGGCTAACAGAGAACTGGTTTGTGTTCCCTCCRGAGGGCTGGAACAAGACTCCAGAGCCTGGTCCTGTTCCTCCCAGCACATCTTTGTATGCACAGCCGAAAGTAACCCCAGGCTCAGCAGGTGCCCCACTGCCACGGACATTTATGGAGCCTGGATTTCTCTGTGCAAATATCAGCGATAAGAAGAGCAGGAAAACCTGTAACTCTCAATGCTTCTGTGACTCTTATCACGGGCTTTATGAGAGCTGAGGTTTCTGGGAATAGAAGCTTGTACATAGTCATTGCGCCCACAAAACACTGCCATCACATGACTAGCAATAAATCTATGTCTCATATATCTAGATAGAAGAACACGCCTCTCCCTGCTCCTTGGAGCAAGGTACGTCACTTGTTTTCTATTCAAATTCACCCTCCTCCCACAGAAGCCTTTCCTTACCATACCAGCGATTAGTGAATTTTACTGAGAAAATACATGTCCAAGCAGCAGGAAAATAACTTCCAGACGTGCATCTTTTCCGTGTGTGTATATATCTGACACCTTTCATCCCATAGCAGCTTCACAAATATAGCTATTTTATTGAGTGTGTACCCCTATGTGCAGTGCATATCATGATTCATTACAGATTAATAGAGGCAATTAAATGTAAGATTAAATTGCTTAAACCATTTGCCCTACTAATCGGATCCTGGTGCAGAGTACTGTAGCAGTGCTAATTCCCAAAGATCTCCCTTTGGAGGCAGGTATTTAATGATTTTGAACATCAAATCCACGGTGTCCCAGCCTGGCAGTCTAGTGCCTGCAATCAAGTTAAAACGCAGCACTAAACCCAGCTTGCCCAAGGCTACTGCAGTGAGTCACGGGCAGGGAAAGCAGAACTGACTTGCACGAGCAGGGACGGAGCCACGTGCGCAACTGCGACGGGGGGATCGTCCCTGCCACCAACTCCTCCAATGTCTTGGGCCATGAGATGCTGGATGTGGGGCCCTGTGGCCACTGTACGTTGGGTGCAGGGAGGCAGTGGAGGAGCTGGGGGGGCTGCCACGAACCCCTGGCAGAGGCACAGCATTTGGGTCCCTGCCCCACTCCTGCTTCTCTTATTTTCCCTTTCTTTCTCTTTCTTTCTTTCTCTTTGTTTTTCTCTCTCTCTTCTCTTTCCTTTTCCCTTCCTTCCTTCTGTCCTTCCTTTCCTTCCTTCCTTCCTTCCTTTTTCTTCTGTTTTTTTTTTTTTTTTTTTTTTTTTTTTTTTTTTTTTTGAATGTGGCTGTCTCTATACAATCTGTCCAAATATTTACAAAAGGAAATGCTGGGTTGTGAAACTGAATTCGGAGAAAAAGTTACACATGCTGAAGAAATGCATCCAGCACAGTTTCCAAATTTTCCCACGTGCATTTTTGTTCTCTGTCTCAAGACTCTGGGCTTGATCTTGCATATCTTTATTCAGGCAAAACACCCGCGGAGGACAGAGAAGCACAGGCTGGGGTCAGGCCCAGCGGTGCCGTAATCCTCAGCTTTCTGGAACGTTTCAGGCCTGATTTTGGCCCTGGGTGACCAGTTCAAAAGCCTGACTAACCAGTTTTGCTGGATAACCACTTTGTGCAATGGGCCAATTGCAGACAAGCGGTTATCTAACCTTGTCCCCAAACTGCTCACTACCCAGCCTCGCCACCACCCATGCAGAGATCGCCCGTGCCCTCACCTAAGCATCAGCCCAGCTGGAYCGAGAGCCACAGAAGAGCTCTGCAGGCTTCTGTCCCACCGAGACACAGAGAAAACACTCCGCGAAGACATYATGGAGTGGGGATGAAGCCATTTTCCCAACACGTCCCTAATCCCATGAGCTCAGGCTCAGCCCCACAGGGCTCCCTTAGCACATGGACCTCGCTCCTGGACACTTCTAGCAGCTTCCAGGCCACCTCCCCAGCCGGGTCCATGGGCCTGGGACAGCAGCCAGCAGCCGGTCCCCAGGTGTGAAAATAAAAGTATCAGCTCCCACCTCTCCACCCAGGGCACAGCACTTCAGACTCTTGTTTCTATTATTATCGCTACAATGGCATTGTGACCTGAACCTAAACATGGGGTTGTTTTGGAGGAAGGGGTTAATTTTGTATTTCCTGGCTTTTGTTAAGACGGGAAGTTGGACCCTYGCAAAAGTCATTCAGGTTGGACTTAGCCCCTATAAGTCACTCTAGTTTTGTTTTGTGTTTTCCTTTCTTTCATTTTTTTTATAGCACCTTCGTCAAAAAAAAGAAAATATAGTAAAGCAAGGAAATAGCTAGCAGAGTATTATGAGTGAAGAAGACGTTGCCCGATAGGGACTTGCTTTTTCTTTCTGATTTCCAGTGGGTGTAAATAAAATGGGATTAAAGAGTCCTACAATCACATGGCAAACCCAACAGAGCCATTAGTGCCATGGTGTAACGCTGGCGGAGGCAGGTCCCCTCTCCCAAAGGTGTTGTCTGGAGCTCAGTATTGCCATGTGGGATGCCTAGGTGTAWATCTGAAGACAGGTCACAGCTGAGGGCCATATCAGCACAGGGAAGCTGCGTGTGGCAGCGCGGCGGAGCACAGTCACTTCCCAGGAGCACCGTGTGTGAGCATCTCTCCCACAATCTGCTTCTCGACGCCTATTAAAAGCCTCGCAGTAAATAAAGACACCAAAAAGTGCAATCCTGTGTTTATTTTGAAGGAACATGTTGCAAAAACAGATTCGCTAGGAGGCTGCAGTTCTGGCTCGTCAATAAATAAATCTGCAACAAGTTAACGGGCTGGAGCTGGCGCTGGCTCCCCACGAGGAGCCAGGGCRGCTCGGAGGCGCTCGCCCTGCCTGGGCCAGCACCGCAATCCAGAGGATGTTCCCATGGACTAAGAGCCAGTGGGAAGCAGCAGAGGAGCCACASGCAATGGTGAGCGATGGCAGCTCCTCGGCGAGCGCACGCGGGGCACGGGGGAAGTGAAAGCGGCCACGACTGCAAGTCCTGAGCAAGAGCCCCCCGAGTGCCTGGGTGGAAGCTGCTCGCCCACGGGGAAGCGCCGGCGCGGAGCCAAAGGGGAAAAACAGAACTCATGCTGCTTCATTGCCAGTCACTCGGTAGCCATAAACTCCGGGGACTTTTCTGTATGGAAATCCAGCTTTGCACAGGCTGTGGGTCTCTTACATTACTTTTCCTTACATATAAATCATGATGGGAACTGCCCTCAAATGGGTGGTTGTCATACAAATCGGTATGCAAATCTAAGGTATTTATATGCATCTATTTATGTGTGGCTGTGTCTGAGCATGTCTACTGGGGCCTGTATGAATATAAATATAGGATAGGTATGCCTGTCTCTTTGCATGTGWATTTGATGAGGATAAACACGTACACACACATTCCCAGAGCATCCCCTCACCCRCATGCTGTGCCAGGGTCCCTCCTGTCCCCTCAGCGATCCTGACTGTGGCACGGGATGGCCAGGGACCAGCACTGGGAGGGCAGGGAAGGTGCCTGGGCAGCGGGGGGCTATGGGAGTGTGTSGGGGACAATGGACTGTGCGTATATGCTGACTGTGCACACAYTGCTGTGCATGTRTATGTATATATATACATATGCACATGCACATATGCGTATGTTGATGCAGCTGCGTGTGCATGCATATATGTGTACATATGCATATACATGTGCAGGCTTGAATTAAGTGTATGTATACATGTACAAGTGCAGGCATGCATACAAATACATATGTGGATGTAAGTGCACATGTATGCACATATGTGTGAGCAGGTACATGTATGTTTAGGTTTGCTGTATCGATGTGTGTGCAAACACATGTATGAGTGTTATGTGTGTGAATATGTATGTGTGTGGGGATATGTATGTAGGTGTATACGTATGTGTATGTGCATGTGTGCAAACACATGTATGAGTGTATGTGCGTGTATATGTCTGTGTGCGGGGGTATGTATGTAGGGGTATACGTATGTGTATGTGTGCAAAAGACACGTGTGAATGCATGTGTGTGTATATGTACGTGTGTGGGGGTATGTATGTAGGTGTATGTGTATGTGTGCAAACACATGTGTGAGTGTCTATGTGTGCATATGTCTATGTGGGGGTATGTATGTAGGTGTATACGTATGTGTATGTGTGCAAACACATGTGTGAGTGTATGTGCGTGTATATGTCTGTGTGCGGGGGTATGTATGTAGGGGTATACGTATGTGTATGTGCATGTCTTCGTGTGTG